TTCTCTGCACATTTGAGTATCGAAATCTAACAGTTCCCAAGCGCTAGAACATCCAAAAGCTTCAATTAACGCTCAACATTTGGTCACACTTTCCTCTTCAACTCTCTAAGGGGTAGCTCCATGGTCGCTACTTCACTTGTGCCTTGTTCTTGTCCTTATTTTTGCACATGTTTGCACTATGCTTGATAATTATGGGCGCTGCTCAAGAGCGACTTTGTCTGTGTGTGTTTGTGTGTGGCTTCCGAAGTGGGCGTGTGCCACAGCCTCCACTCTCTCTCTCTCTCTCTCTGCTGTTCTCTGTGGGAGCAGCTACGAAAATGAGTTGGCAATAAACGCCGCTGGCCGCTGGCCACTGACCACTGGCCACACCAACGCCAACACGCCCACGGGGGTTGAGCATCTGAAGAACCTCTGGACACCTCTTGAAATCGAGATGGAAACTGGGAGATAGTAGACCAAAGTCAGAACCCCCAAACCCTCAACCCTCTTGCTCTTTTCTACACAATTTTAAGTACCGCGCGGCCTCTGTGTTTTCTGTTGATTTCCAGTGAAACATGAAAACGGCCAATGAATTACGAAGCAACTGGAAGACAGAGTGAACCACTGAGAATGACTAACTACTAAGAGGAGGGGCTCTCCGCACTTCAGATGGGCCAAAAGCCGCTGATAAGAACCAGAGACAGAAACAGAAACAACAGAAAACGCTTTTAGTAGTTACTTGCCACATACCCCTTGCCCCCCTGGCCCCTCTTCTGTGTCTTCTTTGAAGCGAGTGCCACTCCAGGTGATGTAAATTTTTGACAGAGCAAACAATTGAAATGAGAAATGAGACACAAAAAGACACACAACTGGCGCTGAAAGGTGTCTCTCTGCCGCTCACTCTCCCGCTCTCTGTGTGTCTCTCTGATTCTTTTTCCTTTTTTCTCGTGTGTGTGTGTGGATTTGTTTTGTCAGGTTTTGGGGCTTGTTTCGAGTGCGTGCCAAGCAGCAAGGGGCAGAGGCAGAAGGCAACGCCTGATTAATTTGAACTGATAAGCGCTTCATTTGCTTTTGTGTAGGTTGAAAACGTTGCGCAGGCGCACACAATGCAGAGAGCGCATGGCAGAGCGCGGAGAGCGCACATTTTCCAGGTCATACGCCCCGACATTGTTTTTGTTTCTTTATCTTTATCGCATTTTGAGTGAAACATGAGCAATGTTGTTGCCAGTTGTTGCCGCTTCTACCTCCCAGCCACGTTCGAAAACAATTACCCCACATAAAACCACAGAGCGAGCGGCAGAGGGAGATAAAAATCGGCAGGGAAGAAAAGGTTTTTAACGCATCGTCAACAATGCCACACAATGCCCAGCGGCAACTTTGACAACTGTCCGGCAACTTTGGATGCTGTCCGCGAACCTGCGGACGGGAGATTGCAGCGTTGATCGGGAGCAGCAGCCCTAATAAAGTTGTATGAGCTTGTGGCATGCCACAACCGTTAAGTATCGTTGCCAAAACGCTAATAGCCTGCAGCTGTGGCTCTGCAGCTCTCCAATCTGTGGAGAGAGATCTACACTGGATCGAAAATGGATAGGCACAGATTTCTCCACTGCTGCTCCAGCTCCACCGCCCCCCTGCCAGAGCAGAACATAATTTAGCCGCGTTGAGGCCATAAACTGCAACGGCAGCTTTAAATTATGAGCGGGTTGGCAACAGGCAACTGCAACGCTGCAACTGAGTTCGTTTTGCTGCCACACATTTCCAATTATAGACAGGGAAGCATATTTCAGCAGGGAGAACTGTGGCTAAAGGCACAAGAGGTACCCTGGACACACTGTCAACTATGTCTGGGTTTGCCTTGCAGGTGGCAGCAATCTTCTCGCTCAATATGCCCATCAATTCTCATGGTTACAGAGGGTACAACACTCTTCACTCCTCACTGGCAGTTGATCTAGTCTGATGGCCGTTTCACCTGTTGCTGGATGCTGTGGCTGTAGCTGGAGCACTGCCTGCAGCTGGACCACTCTTGCTGTGGGTTGACTAGCAAACTCCATTCCACATCCACGCCCCGATCGCTGGCATGCACAACATAAATTTTCAATGCGCGGCACACTTGGGTGTTGGGTCCGGTGCTCAGGCTCAAGCTGCCTGCTGGCTGGAGTCTCTCCTGCTGCTGCTGCTGCTGCACTAATTTATAGTTTGCAGACTAGTCGAGTGACTGACAGGCTGCCCGGGACACGACGGCACAGACGGACAAATTATTTGCTTGCCTGTCCGAGAGTTGCAGTCTCCTCCGCCTCCTTCAACCTTTTTTGGCTGCTACCGATTCAGCAAAACGATGCGCAGGCATTTCGCTGGCCGCCAAAATTGAATGCAAAGGCTCTGAGCTGGCGAGGCAGTTGACAAGGCTGTGTGTGACGATAAGCATCGTGCAGCAGATACACAGATACATTCGGGCCCTGGACTGGACTCGGAGATATGTACTTTGCCTTCCCTTATCGCTCGATCAGCTTGTTTCGGACATTTTCTCGTGTAATTTGCGCCTCGGCCGCACTGCTCTGCATACAAATGAGCCAGCAGCCTGCCAGACGTCACTCCACTTCAATCAGAATGCCCCAGAAAGTGCCTTAAAAATACAAAGACTTAGAGGGATTTTGATGCTGCTGTAAGACACTTTTCCTTAAGCGTATCTCGCGCTGTAACAGTCGCTACAAATCCTTTACTTTGCCGAGTACAAGAAATTCAATTAAAATTATGATTTTGCATAAATTGTGTGGAGCATGAGAACGCCTTAGAGTCCGAGCTGCCACAATTTGTATCTAATGAAACGCTTGGCAGGCAGGCAGGCAAACCACAAATTAAATGGACTTCGGAGCAGAGTCCACAAAAGAAACCAAAAATCTCAGCTCTCTGCTGTTCGATTCGTGGGCGGCGCCCTAAAGTCAAAGTGAAAAATGCTGAGAGGCCTTTGTGATTGCCACTGGATTTTTCGGGTTATGGCTTTATCTTTTATGGCCCACTGTACGCTGCTACCTGGCCCCGCGCACCTCTCCCCCCTCGACCAACGACCACCGACGATATTTGTGGTTAGAAATGATGAATGAAAATCCCATGGAAGGGAAGCGCATGAAGTGCGTGTGCCAGAAAACTAAATGAACACGAAAAATAAATGGATGAAGCCCTTCCCCCCCCACACACTCACGGATTAAGTTGGGAGCTCTGTCTGTGGAGTTTTCGTCTTTGGAGTTCATTAAATTCTGAGATCCGTAAAATATGCAAAGGCGTGCCCTAGCGAGCAGAGATTATCTGGGGGGGAGGGCGACTGCTGCTGCAAACTCTGACTTTTAATATATGATAATTAATTCATTATCGATGCTGGGACAGCGGCAGAGACAGACAGCGGGATGACAACGCTGACAAGGATTTCACTTGCAATTAAAACGAACAAGACACAAAAATTGCCACAGCCACAAGTGAGCGGATAAGCCAGACGACCAACACTCGGACGTGGCCGCAGTCCCGAGACTCAGTCTCAGTCCCAATCCCAGTCCCAGTCCCATCTGCATAGCCATCTACCATCTGTACTCCTGGCCAGGAGACAGCCAGACAACTGGGCATCTCCTGGCTGGCTGGCAGGCAGCTTTCATTCATTAAAGCGCAGCCCAAACCCAGCCTCGACATGGACTAAAAACTGATTATCTGCATATAAGCCAACTAAAAACTGGATACCAGCAAAGCAATTCCCCACAGAGCATAGCCAGCAGGCAGGCAGGCAGGCAGGCAGGCAGTCAGGCAGCATCAGCGAAAAGGAAAAAATAATTGCCCAGAACTGTTTAACATATCACGAGAGGAGGAGAAGCCTCCCAGTCGAGTGAGTCTTTTATAAAAATTCGCAACATGTCATTGAAGTCGATGATGCTGGAGCCACCGAGTCACCCCCAACTCTTGGAGTCACCCCGCGCTCTCTCATTGTCTGGGGCAACTTTGACTGCGCAGGACACGCTACACGGGACAACGGCATCGACGTGGACATGTCAATGTCTATCTCTCTTGCTCGCTGTCGCTGTCGCTGTCGCTGTCTCTGTTGCCTGGCGACTACCAACTCTGATCCATATCGTTAAAAGTTAACGCTTTAGCGGCTTAAACATGGCTTTTAGCGTTAATTAACAACGAATTTTCGAAAAATGCAAAATGTGCAGCCACGGAGAGCAGGAAATGGTCGGTCTGTTGGTCGGTCGAACCCAACCAACAAGTAGACAGAATGTTAAGTGACACGGCAGCCGATAAGCTCCAGCCGGGAGCACCACAGCTACATGGGGGAGATACTTCGACAAACGGACATCGCAGGAGCAGGACCCTCGCCCTGGACATTTCCCCCACTTTCAAATGCTGCTCGTGCACGGAAATATTTTTTCGAGGCTCTCATATAACATTCAATATGGAAAAACTTTGGCTTAAAAACAAGCAAAAACAATTTCATTGAATATTTATATTTTTAATTACTTTTAAAGTCAGGAAAGTGAAATGTTTATGGGAAGGGAAATAAAGCAATTTCCCATAAATTGGAAATGAAACATTTAAAGGCAGGAAAATAAAGAATGTTGTGGCATAAAATGCATAAGAGAGAATTGGTTGCACTTAAAGATTGAAATATCATTCGATTTTCCTGTATTTTTTATAAATTTTAATACGAGTCACTGTTCCTGTTTAAATATTTTATTTATTAAAACACTTAAGACACTCTTCCTTTTACCTGTCCTTTGCCCAAATAATCCATAAATACTTTTTAATAATTTCCAAAAATATCTAACGTATATTTTCCTCCATCTTTTCAGTCTTTATGCTCATCGATAGCTTCACATTAGGGCGCTGGAATGTAAGTACACAATAAAACCACTCAAACATATATTTTTTGCACATATTAAATATCATTTTTATTCAAGCAAACTAAAAATTAACAAAAATAGTTTAAACATTTCTTAGACAAGGCTTAATCGAAGCACTCTATGTACACACACAAATATTATTTATATTTATATTTATAGTTAGTTTGGGCGATTATTAGACTGCATTACAGTATTAAACAGAGAGGGCAGGGGTTCTGGGTCTGTGGGACGAACCTTAAACCTAGACTAGACAATTAATTGAACTAAAAGCTAAGTTGATTGGAAGAATCAGGAACCTACAGGCTATAGGGAAGCACTTGGAAGTGTGTTGGAATTGCAAAAGATCTGCTAGATCTGCAGATGTGTGTTACAAGTAAACCTTAAACCATTAGGAAGCACAACTTTCATTTATAATTATAGATAGTATATACAGAACCATCATTCATCGTTCATTTAGTTTACTTTACACTTTTCACAACTTAAATATTAAATCACAGTGGCGAGATTGGTTTTTTCGACGCCTGCCCACAACGATTCTGAACCGCTTGAGGGGCAGGTGTGCGCCTGCAAAACAGCCAAATGGAGGATCCAAGGCGGATCCACTGGGGTGGCTCATCCCCGGTACTCATCTGGGTGGACAGAAGCTAAAGTAGGGAAAGAGTTGGCAGTGCAGCGAGTAGAAGCGCTTGGGATCTGTCTTCAGATCGAAGCCATCCACTTTGATCACATTCCATTGGTTCTTCATGTGAGCGTAGCTGAAGGACACCTGATCGTGGAACGTATCGGCGCGTATGAACTCCATGGGCTCCAAGTGCGAGTGGAAGTTGTCCACGACAGTCAGGGGTACTTTGAGGAGATGTTCTGCAAGGGAAGAACAACAGTTAGCCACTGCCTCTCCCTTTGTTCTTCGTGTGTGTTTGCACTCACCTATAATGAAACCCATTGTGACATCATCCGGAAAGCGTATCTTGTCCCCGATGCTGGTAAATCTGCCGCCACCTGCTATGGGTCGCATCTTGAGCGTCAGGGCACGGCTCAGACAGAAGCCAGCGCCGCCAGTTGCAAACCAGAAGGTTATCTTCTTGTTGGTTGTCGTGTTCTTCTGCAAAGGGGCAGAGGGAAGAGAGAGAGGGGTAAAGGTTAACGGAAGAACTGGCTTATGAATGGTGAACGGTAGGATGAGCAGCGCAAAGGATAAACTCGGTTAAAAATCCATTTTTATTTTTTGGGTTTTTATTTTTTCGATTTTTTGGCATTGGCCCAGAGAGAAAATTGCCCCGAAATACTGAGCCCGTGCATCTCTCTCTCTCGTATATGATTAATTGGCCATGTAAATGGACATGTGCGAGCTGGAAACTTAATACTATATGGGGTCTGAGGGTAAGACGAGACTTGGGCACAGGATCTCCCCGCTTTCCAGCTCTTCCTCTCCTGTTCCTTGCCTTTTTGGTGCGCGCAAATCAAGCGTAAAGTTTGGGGTTTTATTTTTTAATTAGGGCTGCACTGGACTCTGTTTCCCCACTCAAATGAGAGAGTTAAAATTCGAAAGATCTTGCTCTAAATTTCTCTTTGGTTCGCCTGCTCCAACCCTGGCAACTGGCTTTTTGTGCTTAAGCCGGCAAAACTGTGGCAGGCACATTCATTTGCTGCGGGATCAGCTGTGGCGATATTTTTCAAATGGCTCGAAATGGGAACGGGTTCAGGCATGGATTGAGATTCAGATTCAGGCACAGGCACAGGCTGAGGCTGAGGCTCTTTGGCTATGGCTTTTTGCTTTTGCTATTGCTGTTGTTATTGCCGCGCCAGATCATATCGGTTATTAATGATAGCCTGCGCTGGCAGCTGGAAGCCAAATGGCGGCATAGACAAATGGCCCAAGCGGCCACATAAATAACCAAGGCGCAGACCAGGCACCAGGCCCAGGCCAAGCCTGTTTCGTGGCAAAGAAGGAGGAGCAGGAGGAGCAGGAGGAGCATGGAGAGAAAGGCGATCGCAGCGTGGCATAAACTTGTAATTATGTATTGGGAAAATGGGCAGAAATAACAGGGATTTGCACTTACGCTGTCCAAGTGGATCTCCAGCGGTGAGGAAATGCTCGGCTTGCCCAAATACCAATCCACACTGGGACTATACTCGTCCAGCAGTTTGACCAGACGCGGCACATTGACATAGTTGTCATCATCAAAGTGACAGAACCATCTGGAAAAGGGAGAACACAACATTTAGTTATAAAATTCACAACGAAAGGAACACAATTATTCAGAGAAATGCCCTCCCACGTTGAACTAACGCTGGAGCAGCTGGTGCGAATTGCTGTGGGTGTGCCCGAGCTGACACACGTGAATGTGGCCGTGTTGCACAGTCTCCTCAATGTGCTGCTAAAGAAACTCAACTGCAAGGATGATCTGGTGGGCATTGGTGGCTTCGAGGGCAAGTGCTTGGAGCGCATCTTGGAGCAATCCAAGTACTCGCCGCTGCCCTTTGATGTGGCTTCAATTGTGCCCATCTCTGAGCAACTGGGCAAAGTGGAGCAGCTGGAGAAGCGCATCGCAGAGCTAGAGTGTCAGCTGGAGTGTCACTTTAAGCAGATACGCGTCTGCAACCGGGCCAAGGGCAAGAAGTTTCAGTCCAAGATGTGGGAGAAGTATGCCTCGCCCTGCGAGGATCTTTGCACCACGTGCGACGAGGACAACAAGATCGCCTGCAGCCTGCTGGCCAATGTGGATTTTATGAAGAAATTAATGCGACAAATTGCAGGACCCATTCTGCTGCAGATGGAGGATGTGAGCAAGCGACTGGAGAAGTTCTATGAAACGCTCAAGGAGTTCCTGCGGCAGACCGAAGCGCTCTTCCAGCGCTTCGAACTGGTCAAGCAGTGCGTCGTGGAGATTGAGAATTTACGTGGTCTAGTCCAAGAGTACAACGTCACCTTTATCGGTACGATGGAGGAGCTGCAGGATATGCTGGATAGCAAGTTGGACAAGGTACACATGCCGGCGCTCAAGAAATATATTCGCGATCGCTTCGATGACATTGAGACACGCCTGCGCCTCATTGAGGACAAGGAGAGCTGCCCCCGTGCCGCTGGATTCATCAATTCGGGCATTTGCTGCCTGTCCTGTGGCAGCACACGCGTTGGCGCTGATGTTGGCCCACAGGCCATTGCACTGCTGCCCGATGCACCCACCCGCGGGCTGCCACCCATTACCGCAACGCCCACCAATTGCCAAAAGAGTCTCGTGTGCCGCTCTGTCGAGAAGGAGCCCACGCTGATGGTGCGCGTAAAGAATCTCGATCTAGACATACTCGCCTCACGACTCAACCGACCCGCCTACGGGAAGATATGCAAACTGCCCGAAGCCAATGACACCATCTATGGTGTGCGTAATTCCTGTTATTCTGGTTAGCTAGGGAGTACTGTTCCCGCCCCTGTACCCCCCCGTCATATGTTAGTCACCCAATCCAAATCGTTTCGTTTAAGCAATAAAACATAAGAGCCAACCCAAGGCTGTTTCCGCTAGGCGGAGGCAAAAAAAAGTGCACTAATTTAGATTGCAATTACCGCAGGCAGAAACAGAGTTGGAGGGGAGCTGCCAGTCCAAGTCAATGCAGAGATAGAGATCGCCGTTTCCCCCTACTGCTTGCTGCAGCTGCAGCTTGCTGTTTGCAGTTTTTATAGTGACAAACGATCAGCCATATCCGGTAGCCAGCCGTTGGACTAATGATGGCATTAAGCGCGGCAGCTGAAAGGTCGCCGCTGGCCAAGCTGCAGCTCCAGGGTGCTCTCCAGGTGCTCAGGGGAAGCTCAGCTTTTGCACTGATCTTGGGGAGCGAAGGAATTTCGCAGCAAGAAATTGGAATATCTTTGGGAGGGGGGGGGCAAACAGAAAATCTTTGAAGTAAAGTGTCAGCCAGGAAGGGAGCAGAAACTGCGCATAAGGGAAGCAACTTTTTGGTTAGTTTTTGGTGTATTTATTGTCAGTGTATTCCCAACTTCGTTGTTCCCCTCTTCCAGCTTTTTTTTGCAACTTTCGTTGAGCCCGTAAGTATTCAATAAAATCGAATCGAATCGCGGAGGATTGGCAATGACTTGCCTTGTCTTGCCTTGTCCGCGGCGTCTCCCTCTCGCTAGTTGGGTAATTTAATATAATTTTTATTGCATAAGCCGCGACTCTAGCTGGCGGTGTGTGTGTGGGGTAGATAGATACATAGATATCTAGCTACTCCTAAGCCTGGCATTCATAAATTTCCTGCTGTTTCGATGTTGTGTCTGTCTATGGCTGCCGCTGCTGCCGCCGCCGCGACTGTTGCTGTTTGTGGCTGCCACATGCGATACCTGTGCGAACACGGCAGCCGCTTCTTTCTCCCTCTCTCTCTCTCTCTCTCTCTCTCTCTCTTTGCTCTGCGGCAGTGTCTCTTTCCCCTCATCGCTTCGTGACGCATAAAAATGCGCGTTTAATTTGCTTAATTATGCGCAGAGCATAACCCTCCCTCTGTCTTATGTCTTCTGTCGTCGTTTTCCCCCTGCTGCTGCTGTTTTCCCTCGTTTTCCAAATTGAAATCTAGCCGCTATTTTATGTTCGTTGTCGTTTAATTAACGCTCGTAGTTCCCTTTCCCCTTCCCCCTGGCTGTCTTTGTGGCATTTATGAAAATGTTTTCATTTGGAAGTTCTTTTGGGTTATCGATTCGGGCATCATTGGGATCGTTGAATGCAGAAGAACTCGCTGCTCGTGTCTTCCCCATTGATATACAAATCGAGTGCAAAAACTTTCAGTTAAAGTTTATTTTTTTTTCCAATTATTTGCGCTGCTCTGATGTGGGCAGATTTCGATCAGCAACCAGTCAGTCAGCCAGCTGCCGGCAGCCCGCTCCCGGGGCGTTGGCGGCTGCCTCCATTCCATACGCAATTCCCATTCCATATCCAATTCCCGTTCCCAAGTCCGTGTGCCACATACAGCAGGCGAAATGAGTTTATGTCTGGAGCCACAATAAAAAATGATTGACGGGGCACTTCAACTCGAGAGCAAAAGAAGGAGAAACGAAGTCCGCCAGAGTCTTAATAGATTTCGCATTAACAGAGCGAGAGAGAGAGAGAGAGAGAGAGCCGTTGCACAGGGAGAGCGGCAACTAAGTTGCCCCTGCCACACAGTCAGCGCTAAAAGTATTTTGACAGCAGGCCGAGAGAGAGATAAGCGATCGCCGAAAAAACCCACAGTGCACAGTGTCCATTGGCTGACGATGACGAACTGATTTTGTTTGGGTTCTGCCACTCTGCCACTGTCCCTCTATCCTTTGGTGAGCCTCTTGCAATTAGCAATAAGTCAGCTGTCATCTGGCAAGCAGTGTGCGAGTTTTGCTTTATAAGTATCTCTCGGTTGCCAGTTTCGCGGATTGATACAAATCAATGTGAAGCGCAGGGGAAGGGACTAGCAGACAACAAGATATTTACATTAAGCAGGAGTCTGTCCGACCACTCAAAACAGCCAGCATGTGCGCTGTCCGCTGTCCGCTGTCCGCTGTCCGTTGTGCGCCTCATTAACAGAGACAACAACAAACGAGAGAAGGAGACAGAGACAACAGCGAAAGGGAAATTAATCTTCTCATTTTGAATGCAGTTTTTCGATGGACGATGCTTTCATCTTTAAGTGCCAGTCGCCCGACCATGAGTCAGAGTTTTATGGGGGAAAAAGCTACACGCCTGCGCACCACAAAAGTGTTGCCCTGAGCAGAACACAATTGAAATGCATTTGACAAATGCGCTCCACTGGTCTCCGACCAAAGCAAATAATTAATTTAGGCAGTGGCAGTGGCTATGGCTCCAAGTGTAAATTGAATATACAATATCTTGTGCCTGCCAACAAGCCTGCAAATTGAAGGCAATTGTCGCGGATTACAAGCTGTTCGTGGGTGGGTGAGGCGCTAATTGAAATGTGGAGCAGAGCAGCGAGTCAGAGTTTCGCCAGCGAACTTCCCGGATGTACAGACTGGAGTTGCAATTGCATTTCCTAATCTAAAACTCCGCATGCAAATGCTGCAAATTGTCTGCTTCCGCTGCCACAATTCTGTACAAAGATGTTTAGCTCTCCTTTTTTTGTTGTTTTTTGTCAACGTTTGTGGGCTTTTCTCTCCCACAACGCCTCAATTGGATAATGGGGGATTGTTGCAGTCGCAGTTGCACTTGCGGTTGTCGCCGTTGCTGTTGCCTTGCCACAAGTGGCAAATAAATGAAATTGATGCGCTTCTCTAAAATGACTGTGAGGGTTCCCCCTCAGTAGAGTGTCGCCCCGGGCTTGGTGGTTCATTTTTCCCCTAAAAGGAAAAGTCTACACACTTCACACGCATCTCTCTCTCTCTCTTTTACTCTCTCTATAAATAGCTGCCCCTGGCCGCAAAAAAGCAAAACTCCGGTGGAAAGAATGAAAATTTTCTCACACATTGCCACAACATCTGCTGGGGTAAGGCTTTCCACATACGAGTATGCCACGGAATGCTCATGTCTCTCCCCCCCNTTTCCCCCCCCCCCCCCCCTGCACACCATATGCAGTACAGTTGAGTGCATTACGAACAGCGATTAAAAATGTCGCTGCCTTAGATGGATATTGGAGTGTGTGACTGACTGCCTCTCTGTTTGTCTGTCTGCGGCTTTGCTGTTTGTTTTTGTCGTTCGTCTATTATTGCGGCTCTGTGTGGGGATTAGCGCAGTGCAACAAGTTGCACTCTCAGTGGCAATCATGCGCCGAAGAAAGGGTGGAGAAAGGGCGCCCATTGCAGCCTGGGAAATTTCATTGATGTGCAGACTGGAGCGAAGCGAATCATTCGATTCCCACGCACCCACAAAAGCAGGCAGCAGCAGCAAGAGGGGTGTAGAGGGCACTGACAGACAGGGCCGAAATATTTTAAGTAGCATGTAAAATTATTATCAGACATATTCAGACAGGCTTTGGCCCCAGTTTCGGTTACTCCTCTCGGCTTTGGGTTCCCCTCTGCCGCTCTTTGACTTTGCCCTGATTGATGCCAAAGCCGCTGATGGGGCCCATCCTTGTGGCCCTCCATCTGCATGCTTCGCCCAGCTCTTTGTTCCATTTACAGTTTATGCTGTGAATATTACGCATATTACGTGTTGTAATTACCCCCAAGAAGAGGGCACGGAATGCCGTCGTTATTATGTCAAAATGTTGATTACGAAACGTGTCGGGCATCCATGGGATGCGTCATTCGAAAGGGAGAGCAACGCCGTACCCGCCTCGGACTCGGATTCAGCAACCTCGGATTGCAATCAGATAAGTGGCGGCTGTTTATACAATTGCCTGACAAGTTTCTCCCCAGCCATACGTGCTGGATACATAAGGTTAGGTGTGGCACAAACACACACACACACACCCAAAGCCAAGGCCCAGCCAGAAACAAAAGATAAATAAATTAGAACTTGAAACGAATAAATCGAATCCGATTAGGCAGGGGCTGGGGCAGTAGTCCGCAGCTTCGAGAAAGGAATTTAGAGTCGAAAAAACACACAAAACTAATTAATAAATCGTGGAGCCAAGGCCGCTGCTCCACTGTCGCGAGCACAGTGGGACGCACACAGACTTTCCCGTAAACACCTACTGGCGGCGCCCCAAAATTTGATGGAGTTTCTTTATGAACACGGTCCGAGGCTGTCGGTTGATTTGGAGTGGGAGTTGGCCCGGGGAAAAGGAGATTAAAGATAGAAGAGCGACGTGCCAGGTCATCGTCTATCTCCTATGACTTGCAGTTGCTGTTGTAACTTTAATTAAATTGCACTAATTGTTCAACATTATAATGGATACCCAACACCGACAACAACATGGCTGCTGTCTGCTGCCACTGCAATTAGCCATTCAAGGCAAATGCAAGACGACGAAAGGCGGATTCGTTTCAGTTTCTCATTTTCTCATTTTCTCATTTTCTCATTACCCTGTTCGCACAGTGGGGCAAATAATTCATGTTTTATCGCAAATAAATTTGTGCATTACGCAATTAAAAAGGAACTGCTCAAATTTGCATTTAATAGAGCTGCTTTTGGGTGGATGGGAGACGCAGACGCCCCACGGTTGCCAGCCAACCAGCCAGCCAATTCCAAGCAACATGCTGCTGCTGTACGCACGGCAGCAGCAACAACAGCAACATGCTGCTATAAAGGGGAGTGCTGTAGCTGTAACTGCAGCTGTAGCGGTGTTGGGCTGTGGGGCTGCAACACAGCGTGGCTTAATTGCCAGTTCGAATGAACGTTAATTAACCTCTTTTCATGTTTCGCCTGGATATCTGCTTTTGGTATACAGATGAGCAGAGCGGGATACTCAATATGTTGCTCCATCTCGTAGCAACATGAGCCAACATTTTAAACGTTGCCAATCAGGCCATGGAAGTATGCCGCCGCTCGGTTTCCTGTGGCCACCTGATATCATTTCGGTACTCAAGTAGCATCAACCAGCAGCCACCAGCAGTGCCTCATCTGGCTGGCTCATAACTGCACATTTTCATTGCCGGTCATTTATTTTATTTCACTTTTGTACAACAGCAACACAAATTGTTGCTTGCTGTTGTATCTGCTGCTTTCTACTGCTTGCTTTGGCTTTTGTTGCAGTTGTTACTGCTTGCTGTTGTTGTTGCTATTGATTGCATGCTCCGCGCTCGTATAATGACAGTTTCAAGTTCTAAGCCAAAACGGCAAGTCAACTTAAGATGAAAGCAGCAGCATCAGCAACAGAATATGGCCCCCATCTAGCCATCCAATCGTCATCGCCATTCTCCATCAACTAGAGTCCAAGCATGTCCAAGTTGTTCTAGATTTCTGGATGATGTTGTGTGGTGCTGCTGCTGCTGCTGCTTCTCTTGCTCCTCTCAGTGTAATTACAAATAAGCGAAAAGGGAGGCAACAGCAAAAGAAAAACCAGAAAAGCGAGCAAGCTTTTTGTATGGCGAGATATTTGATGCACTGCCAGATGGCTTGTAGATCTGTTGGCTATAGCTATGTAGAAAATCCTTAAACCCTTCCTTGAAGTTAGAGTAACTCAAAATACGAGTAGAATGTCTCTAGGCTGCTGCTTGCTGCTCCTTTGGGCGCTAGTTTGAAGTGTCTTTTTGCTGGTCCGCTCTCCTTTTATTCTCCTCTGAGCTGCGGTCGAGCTGGACAAGTTTTGAGTGGATTGCTGCTCGAGGTGGGGCTGGGGCGTTCACTGCTGCTGCTGTTTTGCAGCGTCTTAATTGCGCAAATTAGAACGCATGGCAGCTGCAGCACAGAGAGCAGTCCGAGTGGAGCCCAAGCGTGGCCCGAGAACTGGGTGTTTTGTATTTGCCATTTGCCCATGGATAGATTGCCAGTGGTTTGGTCTTGGCTCTCTGCGGTCGCTTATTAAAAGCATTAAAGTCTATTATTACAGAAGCAGCAACAGCAGCAACAGCAGCCACAACCAAGGAGTCATTGCTCTCGGCGTTGCTCTGCAAGTTGTTAGGCAGAAATGCATCGAATGAACATTAAGCTGGCAAATATGACAACATTTTAGGAGGCACTGCAGGCTGGCAGGCAGCTGCAACATGACCTCTTGCTGGTTGCTGGTTGCTGGTTGCCTCTTGCTTTCTGCTGCTCCCCGAGCTAATGCTGTAATTCTGCATGAAATTGAAGTCGTACAAAGCACATCACGTACGAGTGTACGCGTTCTCTCATATGGCAATACCCCAATCAATATGTAGATATATATTTTTCTTGCAATCTGCAAAATACTCACTTTTTGCCGCTCTCCAGAAATACATCCAGTTCGGCGGACATCTTGCAGCAGAGCGCCTTGCGAAAATGGCCCTGGGAGCACTTGGTGTTGATTAGGTGGCCCTCTGGAAACAGAGAAAGAGAAGGGAAAAGGGTTGGAGAGGTATAAACATTTTGATAAAGATTCGTAATTAAGCAAAGGGAACAGGAAAACAGAAGGAGCCAGAGTCGATGGCAGTGGCATTGCCAGTGGCTCGCCACTTCTATGTTAATTAACTAAAAGGCCAAGTTCATATCGCCCCAAAAACCAGGAGACAGGAGACAGGAGACACAGGCGGAGCAGAACACAACCCGAACAGTAGCTTGTTAGTTGAGAATGCCGCTCATATCCAGCGGAAACATTTTGTATCGTTTGACAGCCGCCGCCGCTGCTGCTGGCGATAAAGATGCAAGAAAGGGCATGGGGCAGGGGCAGGGGCAGGGGCAGGCACTGAAAGCAGAGCACAACAAAAACATTTTGCGCCTTAATTGGATGAAAATTGTTGAAATACTTAAGAACACACTCGGACACAGGGAGAGCTGGAGAACTTATCCTTTGTCCAGTCGGCGGGGCGCACACACATAACTCAAAATCCCCGAGCGTGTTTAGCAAAATCCTTTCGGCCAGCTTTTGGCCTAATCAAAATACCAAAAACACACACAGCACAAAAGGGGAGACAAGTAGAGTCCCTGCGTGTCCCACTCCCTGTCTGTGAGTCTGCGTGAAACCTGAGATCGTCACAGCCTCTCAGCCTCAGCCCCTTCTCTCTGCTCTCTGCTCTTTTCGGAATATTTTCTCGTATATTTTCTGTTGTCTTTTCTTCTTGTTTTTGTTGCTGTGTGTCTGCTGGAGTGTATGCAAAAATTGGAATATTATTTTTTTGGGTTTTAAGCAAAAATTGAAATTTGAACTTTTTTCTTCATAATTAAACTTTGCTCTCCTCCGCTCTGCGCTGCCCTGCTTCCCTTCGCACTGCTTTGCTCTTTGCACTGCTTTGCTTTGCTTGGCTCTGCCGTGGCGCGTTTTTGATTCAAGTCTGAAAAATCGAAGCGCAGTCTGCGTTGCCTGCAATTCAATTAAAATGCGGGTGAGTGATGAAGCTCCCCCTGCTCTTCCCCACACTCTCTCTCTCTCTCCCTTTCTCCCTTCCTCCCTCTGTCTATGTAGATGATGGAATTTATAAACTTTAATCGGTTTTCGGTTTGTTTGTTGCTGCCTGGCTGCCCAACAGACAGTGGCCAATATTAGGCGGTGCTGTGGGCGTGTCCCTTTGGCTGATGTGAAACTAAGTTGGGAACAGGCCAGAGCCAGAGCCAGAGCCAGAGCCTGAACGGATCGCATTTTGGATCCCAAAAGGTAAGAGGTCGTCGAGCTACCCCAGGTATAAAGCAGTTCTTTTGTGATCAATTTGTTTTTTCCATTTCAAAAATAAAATAAAGAAAGATAAAGGATGGAAAGCGCGGGTGCAGAGGTGCGGGGTATAACTTATGACTTCCTCTTTCTATACTCACTTGTCTTCTCCTGGTAGTAGTGATCATCCGTGTCCGTAAAGAACCAAGTCTGCAAAAAAGAAACAAAAACCAAAGTTAGCAAAAAAGAGATCAAAATAAAAACGGAAACCAAAGTTAAAGGCTTTGAAATTTGCATATGAATCATGTAAATTACAAGAGAGAAAAAAGGAAAAGAAACCGGCAAGCCAGGCCTGGGAAAACCACTTCTGATTTTTTAAAGCCACAGCCACAGCCACAGCCCCAGCCTAGAACTAGAACTTGAACTTAATTATTCGAAGAGACCAAAAACGAGCAACGGCCTACAAGCATTCGCGTCCGGCAATCAGATAAGAAAATTCCCACACCACACACACACACAACACACACCCTTCTGGGTTGCGTCTCAAGAAAAAAAAAAACAACACTCGTAACTCAAGCAAAAAGCCAGTAGAAGAAAATAGTCAAGAAAAAAAGGCAGAAGTGGCCCACAGAAATCAGTCAACTTTGGCGGTGTGACTCCCTCCCATTTGGGCCTTTGCCATGCATCGCTGACTGCGGTAGGGCTTGTTCGCCCTTCTGTTCTCTGTTCTAAGTTCTTCCTTGGTTTCTTATAGGGGAACCCAGCTCCTCATTAGTGCTCGCTCAGTCGCTCTCTCTCTCTCTCTCTTTCCAGCTTGGCTCTTTAATCTATTTGCCGTGTGACATTCATTCCCCTTTAGCTATTTTGCATTTATCTTTTTTTTTCGCTATTTTTTTTCTCTCTGATTTTTCTCGTAATAAATTTGTTAACCCAACAACTCAATTGGCTGGCCTGGGTCTGTGTCTCTGTGCCTGTGCCTGGAGTTTCCCTTAATAACCATTTTTTTTTTTGCTTTGCTTTTTTTTTAGCATCTTGCTTTTGGTTTTATTTTTTGCCTTTGTGTCAAATCAGGCGAAAATCGTTTTAAAGCTTTGACAACTACACGAACAGCTTGTTGTTGGCCCTGTTTGCATTCGTTTTCTTGTTGTTGTTGTTGTTAGCCATGTTGCTGTCTCTTGGCGGAGGCGAAGGTTGGGGTACAACTTGGGCAAACAATACGCCCGCTCCGCAAGCATTTTGAGCAACGACTTGCTGCAACAGTTAGAAAGTCAACTTTTTGCCAGTGTCTGCTGCAGAGTACCAGTGCGCCTTCTTCCATTTGGAGTTCTTTATACACAACTGCCACACAGCAACAGCAACAGCACTTGCAACAGCAACAGCAACTTCGCTGCTAAAAGTTTTCATCGTCGTCTGCTGAATTTTCATGGATTTGTACGAGATTTTTGCAGTTTACTCTTTCTACTTTTTCTTTTGGCGACGGCGGAGGCTGACTCTGGCGCTTCTTCCTCTCCTTTGCCTTAGGGGCGCAAATGTTAACACCATGTTGCTGTTGCAGTTGCAGTTTGGCCGGCTTGTTGTTGCAGTTGCTCCTATTGTTGTTGCAGCAGTGGCAGCGGCAACAGCAGTTGCCGGGGCAGTCCGCAGTTGAGTAGCTTTTAATTTATGTGACTGTTGAAACCGTTGACAAACAGCACTACAACGTGTCTCGCAAATTTATGGCTCGACGCGGACTGCGCCACTGATGGAGCTGTCCCATAAATACAGTTCTTAAGAGAGACAGAGAGAGTGCGGCATCGATTGGGCCAAAGTTAATTGAAAATCAGGAAAAGGAAACTCAAGCCAACTCAAGAGACATTGACAAACAAATCTCGGAGCTTGACAGTGTCTCATGGCTACAAGTTTGCTCAAAATGTTTGGCCAAGGAAGAGCAGAGAGAGCGAGGGAGAGCGCGAACCAACTTAAGGCTTTGAAATTTTCATGGCGTGGCCTGGGCATTCAATTGGAACGAAGCGATTGCCACAACAATTCGTTATGTTTTCGGCAGCAGCCAGCAGCAGCAGCAGCCAGCAGCAGCCCAAACTCCTAGCCAACTCTGCCACTTGGCTAACTGACTCTCGCAGCCAACAATGAATGCATTTTCAATGGCGTCTGCGTCTCCTCTAACTGCAGCTGCGGCAGTTTGCCCCAAAGGCAACGGGCAACGGGCAACGGGCAACGGGCAACGGGCAACGGGCTGGCTGTGGCCAACCATTTGGACAAACCATCGAAGCATTTTTGGCTTTTGGCGTTTTTCCTCCACGTTGTTCGCTTTGTTTTTCTCTCTCGGTCGCGCTAAAATTTAATGCCCCCCCC